GGACATGGGGTCAGAAAATGCTGTGGGGGTGTCCCAGGCAGTGTGAGGGTGAGATGGTGCCTAGTGAGAATGGAGAGCGCATTAGAGGGTTCAGGGTGCCTGCCACAGGAGAGCAGCTGCTGAGGGGAGGTGCCAGAGGCTTCAGGAGGTACAGTGTGTACCTTGGGAACCCCCATTAGTCCTGGTGCTTGGTGGCACAAGGAGGCATGATTAACAGGCCAATGTGGAGGCAGAGTGTCTGAATCCAATCCCAGCTTCTCACTGACTAAGTGGCAACTGGGATACGATACCTGACTTCTCAGTTCTGTCTTCTGGAAAATGAGGTCAGTGGCATCAACTTTCCTCCTAGAATGACTGGAAGGACCCAGCGCCTTATTGACAGTAAGCACTGGACGCATGTCTGTCAGTGTCATCATTATTATCTGAGGAGTCTAGAAAGCTCCCTTAGGCCAAGATGAGGCAAATGTATTTCATTCTTCATAGCCCTACTACTTAAAACTTCAAACCCAGGTAGTCAGTAGAGACAGAAGGGATGACCCCCAGAAGCAGGCAGGACTGGGAGAGTGCTGGGAACCATCGCAGGGGCTTCGGAGCAGCAGACCGCCTGGTGTGCGGGAACGTGCCCACCCCAGAGCCAGGGCTTCTCACGCTCCGGTATGCGGTGAGTCAGCGGGGCCTGTTAAAATACAGTGGGCCTGGGTGGAACTGAAACTCTGCGTTTCTGATATGACTTCTGATCCTTGGACCACATTGACTAGCAAGAAGCTAAAAGGCCTTACTATGTTTTGGTCCAAGCCGGGCCACTGAGATGTTGAGCAAGTCCCCTCAGGCTGGAGAACCTGTGATCTAGAAGTTACCAAGTACAGCTCTATCACATCAGCGGGACACAGGAGGCACTTTGCAAAGGATGTGAGTACAGGGGCCCTCATTTTCTGGAATGCAGATGCAGAAATGGAGGTCAGAGGAGCAAGAGGGAGTGAGTTCCTGCACGCCCGGTTGAACAGCCCTCTTGACAGGTCACCTCTCCTTGGTTCCTTGCTGCACAAACTCCCCCAACAGAAAGGCTGGGCTGGGGGGAGGTGAGCAGCGTCGTCACAGCCAGTCTCCATTGTGTCCCGCAGGCACTGTGCTCTCGGACATCATCCAGAAGTACTTCTTCTCCCCGACACTCTTCAGAGTCATCCGCCTGGCCCGCATTGGCCGCATCCTCAGACTGATCCGAGGGGCCAAGGGGATCCGCACGCTGCTCTTTGCCCTCATGATGTCCCTGCCGGCCCTCTTCAACATCGGGCTGCTGCTCTTCCTCGTCATGTTCATCTACTCCATCTTCGGCATGGCCAACTTCGCTTATGTCAAGTGGGAGGCTGGCATTGACGACATGTTCAACTTCCAGACCTTCGCCAACAGCATGCTGTGTCTCTTCCAGATCACCACGTCGGCTGGCTGGGATGGCCTCCTCAGCCCTATCCTCAACACGGGGCCCCCCTATTGCGACCCCAACCTGCCCAACAGCAATGGCTCCCGGGGGAACTGTGGGAGCCCAGCTGTGGGCATCCTCTTCTTCACCACCTACATCATCATCTCCTTCCTCATCGTGGTCAACATGTATATCGCCATCATCCTGGAGAACTTCAGTGTGGCCACGGAGGAGAGCACTGAGCCCCTAAGCGAGGACGACTTCGACATGTTCTACGAGATCTGGGAGAAGTTCGACCCCGAGGCCACCCAGTTCATTGAATATTCAGCCCTGTCTGACTTTGCTGATGCCCTGTCTGAGCCGCTGCGCATCGCCAAACCCAACCAGATAAGCCTCATCAATATGGACCTGCCCATGGTGAGCGGGGACCGGATCCACTGCATGGACATCCTCTTTGCCTTCACCAAGAGGGTCCTGGGTGAGTCTGGGGAGATGGACGCCCTGAAGATCCAGATGGAGGAGAAGTTCATGGCAGCCAACCCGTCCAAGATCTCCTACGAGCCCATCACCACCACACTCAGGCGCAAGCACGAGGAGGTGTCGGCCACCATCATCCAGCGGGCCTTCCGGAGACACCTGCTGCAGCGCTCCGTGAAGCACGCCTCCTTCCTCTACCGCCGGCAGACGGGCAGCAGCGGCCTGTCTGAAGAAGACGCTCCCGAACAAGAGGGCCTCATCGCCTACATGATGAATGAGAACTTCTCCCCGCGCCTTGACCCCCCCTCCAGCTCCTCCATCTCCTCCACATCTTTCCCTCCCTCCTATGACAGCGTCACCAGGGCCACCAGCGATAACCTCCAGGTGCGGGTGTCTGACTACAGCCGCAGCGAAGATCTCGCGGACTTCCCCACGTCCCCAGACAGGGACCGAGAGTCTATTGTGTGAGGCTCGCCCCAGCTGGCCAGGACACACCAAAAGGCAGCCTGATGCCTTGTGGTAAAGCTAAGTGCAGCCACAAACCAGCATCCCCTGGGATCTTCCTTGCTTTGGGCTTCGGGGGTGAGAGATGAGTCTCAGCCCTCTGGATCAAAGCAGAGTTGTGTGGCCCAAATCGACGCCCGGAAGGAAGCTGACCCTTGGGAGGGGCCTGATCCTAGAGACCCCCACCCACTCCTGGGGCTCTGAAAAGCAACTCTATCCCAGCTGCTGAGGCAAAATATAAAACAGACTGTATGTTATGAATGGGCTTTCTTAAATTTATTATATTTGATATTTTTTTACTTGAGCAAAGAACTAAAGTTTTTTTTCCATGGACACAGGCAGCCGTTTACGCTGCCTCCTCTTAACTTGGAACAAGTCTGTGGAGCTGCTGGAACTCTGTCCTCAAAGCAAAACTGAAATCCCATGTGAGCTCCCCCTGGCCCTCAGGGCCGAGAGGCAGACAGGGGCACCCTGCTGCTTGGGCTGAGCCCCTTTCCTCTCACACACATGTGCACACTCTTCATGCCCACAGAGGCCAGGCGCTGGCCCTGTCTGTCAGGCCGCCGCCTCTGCCCCCTCCCCCCAGCCCCCCCCCCCGCAACAAGAGTTGTTGAGACGGGCTCACTCTGGCCTTCCATTTTCCCCAAGGTCCTGTTTTCCCCCCATTTTTTATGTAGGTCGAACTGGGATCATTTCTACAAAAATGAAAAGCTTCCAGAAGAGAGGGACCTGGATCCGGGGCTGGTCCCAGGCACTGGTGTTGCCTTTTCTTCCGGGGAGTGCTTGACCTCTGCAAGAGTATTAACATTAAAGCTGAGTGGGCATGAGGGAGCCAGCCCCTCTCAGCCTGCCACCCAGCCTGTCCTGGCTCCAGGAACCTGGCATGCGCTGCCCTGCAGGCTGGGAAGAGAAAGTGGAGGCCTGTGGGGCTGGGAGAAACAGCTTGCCAGTGCCCAGCTATCATGGCCCCTCGGGCCTTCTAAAGATGGGAACCTGTTGTCATCTCCCTCTCTCTGAACAGCTCCTCCTCTGACCGTGTGGCAGAGTGGGCGGGGGCTGCCCAGAGACCCCAGCTCCTCTCCAGGAGCAGGGAGTGGGAAGACAGGCTGGGCCTTGGATGACCAGACTCCAGATGTGGTCTCAGTCTTGGGCTCCTTGAGGGAACTGAGCTGCAGGTCCCCTTGGGAAGGGGCAAAGAGAGCTCTGCTCAGCCAAGTTCCTGGTGGCCCCCCAACACAGGACCTCCTGGGGCAGGGTCCAGGCTGTAAATGGGTCTTGTGAGGTGGCCTTTTCAGGGAAAAATACTTTTTCTAGTTCAGTTACCCCAGGGCCTCTTCAGCTGCTGACAATCCTTTTTCGCATATGCAAATCTTTTAACGTAGAGAACTGTCCCCAGAGAGTGACAGTGTTGGCTGGCGCAGCCTGAGCAGGCAGGGCTCAGCTGTCCAACTCCAGTCTCAGACAGAGCTGCCCTCCGCCAGGCGTCCACATCACAGGCCACCTCTGGGGCCTCCAGGAAGCCGGAAACTGGCTGCTCTCACCTACCTCGCCGAGCTGTCGGAGGGCTGGACATCCGCGAGCTTGCTGCAGTGCTGAGGGGCATTGCTGGCGAGTGAAGTATTACGTCTCTTCTCGTCACCCCGAGTTCCCGGGGGGTCAACCCCAGCCTCCAACCTTCCCCCAGCCCCGGTGATTTCTCTTCTCCCACGGTCCCCATGAGTCCTGTGTGGGACATGCTTAAAACTGTCCCCGTGACACTTGGAGTGGAAATCTTATTTTTGTAGAACTCTTTGCTTTGCTCTCAAGGCTTGGCGAGCTGATGCCCTCCCTGGCACTCAGTGCCCTCCGCACGGCAGGAATGCGGTCAGGGAGGCAGGTTGGCTGCCTGCCCAGCTTGCCAGAAGGAGACTATGGCTTCATGGTGGACTGTCCAGGAGCCTTACACAGGTGCCTGCTGACAGGATCAGCTGCCGACAGTGTGGCTGAAGGCAGCGGCGAGCTGGACCCAACGCCTTAGCTTTTAGTGTGGCTCTTTTTTCCCCCCCAGAACTGCACAATGACCAGCAGGAGGGAAGAAGTAGGTAGGAAAAAGAAGGGAGGAACAAGCATCAAGTGCCAGGTATTGTCTGAACTAATTGAGCACTTCTCACCAAACTTCATGTATAAATAAGATGCATATTTTTAAAACAAACCAATAAAAGGCTTACATGACTTGGTCTGGGTTCTGTGGTTGCTTTGACAAGGGCAGTGACAGAGGCCCAAGGAACCTTGTGCTGAGCAAACCAGATCTGGGGCTGGGGAGGAGGAGGCCCCTCAAAACCAAGCAGGACTTCCAGTTGTCTTCCCAGATGGGGTGCATCTGCTACTCCAGGAAAAGTGGGGTGCAGGCAGACCAGACTGCCCCCACAGGAGAATGCCCAGGTCTGGCCTTCCAAGGACTCCCCACCTGGGGCACTGGTGTGGGAGGACCACAGTTTGGGACTCACAATGAGAAGGACTGGGAAGGTTTGGGGCAAGGAGGGGAGCTGCCTGGAGAATAGGCAGATGGTCACACTTCAGTGTCAGCCAGGCTTAGGTCTGACACTGGACCCTGACTCTGGACCCTTCCTCACCCTCCCCTCCCCACCCCCCACAAACCCCCCCAGTCCGCCGCACCTCACTGCTGCCCCACCTCCCACCCCCAACAAAGCGCTTGCTAGGCAGCAGGGGCCCCCTAGCGGCGGGATCTGGTGGAGCCCTCTCCCTACTCATCTTACATCGCCCCTGGGCAGCTCTTAACTGAGCCTGCTGGAAATCCACCCCCTTGCGTCTTTGGCGGGTGGCTCCGTCCCCTGCGCTCCACTCCCTCGGCTTGCACCATTTCAGCCTCTCAGGGGCATGCCCTCCAAGGTCAGACTACATATTCAAGTGCTTTAGACCTTGCTTTAGACCTGGTCCTGCTTTAGGGAAGAATCTTGAGTCTCCGTGCAGCACCTGGGGCTCCCCATAGAACCAGGCCAGGTACATCCGGCTGCCCACTTGGGGCATCTCCAAAGTACCCACACCCTGCCACCAGCTATCGATGGAGGCACCCCCACAAAAGCCATCCTCCCTCACCGGCTCATCCAGGCCACTCCCTGTGGGTGCTTTCAAGCCCTCCAGCTGGTCCTGCCTGCTGCTACTCCCTGGGTTTGTCCAGCAACTGTCCTGAGGAGACACCAGCGCAGCTTCCCTGGTCTCCCCTCCGCCAACCTCACATGTCCCAAACTCCTCCACTGGGCAGCCAGAGTGATAGTCACATCCAAGTTGCCTCCTTGTAAAGCTTTTCCGAGGCTTCCTGCATCCTCAGCACCAAGGCAGACGGTTGCCAGGACCTGCAGCCCGTTGAAGGCCCCTGGCTCTGCCTCCTCTCAGCCTTGCTCTCCTTCCCCCAGCCGCCTCTCCGGCTCTTGCCACTTCCTTATCAGAGCACTGAGCCTACAGAGCTGACCTCAGCCCTGATGCCATCAAGCCCAGCTGTTGTTCTGCTCTGTCCTGGTCCTTTTCAACTCTGTTCAGTGGAAGGAAACTTTCCTGGACCTGGATGAAAGCCAGCCCAATCCTATGGCTTTTTTGCACCATCTTGGGTAAAAGAAAGGTGCCCTTTATGTTGTAAATACAGGTAGGCTCCTCCAGAGGGTTCCAGTGTGTCTGTACATGAGACACACAGGATTTGGTGTTGGTCACTTGGTCAAAACCAGGGCAGACACAGTTCATTCTACCCTGAGCCCTGGCGTTATCATCTCTTCCCAACCAGTCCAGAGCTTTCCAAACACAGAGCATGCCCAAGGCAGAGGGCCACCACCAGCTTTTTAAAAAATATCAGGGTTAAAAAAAAAAATCAGAGTGGGCCGTCCCAGTGGCACAACAGGTTAGGACGCAGCACTACAAGCCAGCTGCAGCCGCTTCAGTGCGAATTCAATCTTTGGCCCCAGCGGTGCCCATATGGTGCAGCAGACCTCTCCTGACACACCCGCTGCGCCCCTCAGCAGTGTACCTCCTCAGTCGTCCTGTTCTGCTCCTCTCTCTGTCTCTGGTGAATCTTCTCACCAACCCTGTACTTCTGGCCTGTACCACAATTCTGTATGCATAAATATTTTATATAAAGCAATGAATATATTTATATCAGGGCGTCCAATAGCAGTGTGTCCTGTGTGGACGTGTTAAGGGGAAGGATGTCCTAAAGGAACTCTGCAGAGTCTTATGGACTCCACCCCCTACTCCAGCTTTCTGGACTCTACCCCGCCCCTCCAGTGATTGGAAGGTTGGAAACTACAACTCCCAGCAGTACCAGGGAGAGAACTACGAGGACCCAAGGGCGGAGCTAGCAAGAATTCTGGGACATTTGGGGGATAAATAGGGGCCATTGCATCTTCCTCTCTTGCTCGGGAAGCAGCTCTCCTGACCGTATGACTCAGTGTATTCAGTCAGCCTAGCGGTAAGGAATTCCAGTTACTTTGTATCCCACTCTCTTTCCCTGGGTTGTTTCCTATTCCTTTCCCCTTTGGTAAATAAACCCGTTATTGACCCTTTTGTGTGTCCCTGCAGTATAGCTGAATTGTGAGCGCATGGGTGAGGCCCCACAGACAGGCGGCCCAGTCCACTCTGGGCTACCCTGTAACAGAAGGAGGAGTAAACCGCCACTTCACATGCACAGGAAACACGGGTGAGTGCCTGTGTGTGTCCCAGGTAGTGCTGGGAAATACATTTTCCTGGAAACCCCAGCGAAGCGTTTGAAAGCTCTGTGAGGACAGGGCCCTGTCTCCTGTCCCCTGCAGCAGGACTAGCTCCATACCAGCATGACGATAAGAGGGTAATTATCCATGCAGAGGGGTGCGTGGGGGAGGTTGTGACCCCCACAAGGGCTCAGGCCCCCCCGCCCACAAGCTCTGGGACACCTCCATGACCTGGGCCAGCACACCCATCATCCTTGAGGCCAAAGTTTGGGATCTGGGCCACTGGGCCCTCTGCGGGGTCTGGGCAGCCTTGGTCTGGCCTGGCGCTAGCAGCCTCCTCTGAGGGAATCCTGTGTCTGCCACAATGCTGCAGCTGTTGTCGCGTCCCAGTGCGGGTCCAGGTCCAGGCGGTGGGCGGCTCTGAGAGGGACGGATGCCGCCCCTGTGTCAGGGGGAAGGCATGCGGCCCAGGGAGCTAACCCTTGGCAGGAGGACAGATGCTCCTGGACAGACGTCAGCACTCACCCTGGGGCCACGGCAGTGGCAGCCCCGCTACGGCGTGCCAGCAGCTCCTCCGCCCGCCTGCCCTGGCAGCCACGAGACCCGTGGGTGGGGGGAGGGGGACCGGGGAGACGGAGCAGGACCGAGTGCAAGGAGATGCCAAAGGCCACCCTGATGGGTGGGGAAGCCGCAGGACTGGTGTCTCCTGCCCCACAACGCCTCTGCAGTCATCCTTGCTGTCACAGCACCTCCACCCTGCCAGGCCTCCAGCGGCCTGTCCCTCTGTGGCTGGCACAGTCTGAGTGCTGGGTAATGCCAGGCTGGCACGTTCACTTCATGCTCTCTAGTCCCCGCCCCAGTGCTTGGCACAGATTGAACCAGAACATTTGC